TCCCCTAAATGCCAAAGTGAAGTTTTGCTACTTTGTGTAAGCCTTGGTTGTAAATTCAGGTTACGCTGCAGCAGGTGCCTTCAGGGTAACCCCTGTAGTATTTCTGGGAATGACAAGTGCCTAAGAATTCAAACTCTTCAATAGACTGTTATGGTGTGTTACTAGATCGTTTCTCAGTTGAGTCCCTCCGTGAGGACCTGTGTTCTCTGCGCGTTTTGTGAGTTGAGAGTGTTGTTCACCGCGTGTGAGTGACTTCGATCCGAAGTAGGAAGTCCAAACCGGGTTTCCCTACGCTAGCAGAAAACTAGTGGAAGGGTTGTAAAAGCCGGAGTTGGGAGTCACTACCCGCAGATTCGCTGAGTGTACTCGCGAGAGCCTTTCCCCCCTGAAATCTTAAGTAGAGGTTCTAACCGATCTCTGGGTTGTGTTTCTGTAGTTTCAGGTGTGTGTGTGTGTGTTGTACGCTGCACTGTGCGACCTCCGAGTGAGCTCCGAGTGAACACTTACAGTATTTCTGGGAGTGACAGTCGCGTGAGAATTCAAACTCCTCAATAGTCTGTTAAATGTGACACTTTGTACCCTGTGTGTTCCTCTGTCCTTGTGGGTTCAACCTTTCTATCACTATATTGCAGTTTTAGCCTTTAGTGGGTTATTACAAAGAAGCTTGTAGAAGTTTTAAAGCTTCCAATGGCATGTCGCCACCTCAACCTTGGATTCCGGAAACTTCTAGAAGGTTTAGCTAGGCCAATGGCATGTTGCCACATAGAGAGGGTTAATCAAACTTACCTAGGTAAAAGTAAGTTAGGAGAAACTACCACCTGTTACTATGGTAACTTCTCAAGTAGTATAAATAGATAGGTAGAATAGCACCCCTCAAGCAAGTTTGGAGAGTCATGTGTGAGGACTTGTTTAAGGAATGAAGAAGTGAAGTTTTTGAGTATCTTGGAGTATTGATGTGTGTTTGCGTTTATGTGAAGAGAGTGATGTGAGGAGAGTTTGTGTGTGAGTTGGAGTGATACATGGAGAGTTTGTGAGAGAAGATGTTTTGGACATGAGTGTGAAGATGAATCCTAGTCTTCTAGAAGCATGATGCGCTACCGCAAAGCCATCAGAGGTAAACCCGAATGAGAGTTAGCCTGGAGGTTGTAGATCACAGTAAGTGCAGTACTTGAAGTGAGTGGGCGAGAGAATGACAACATCTCCTGTTCCATCGCGTCCGCTAGGAGAGCACTTACAACATCGTTGTAAGTTACATCATTGTTATCACGATGAAGGAGAATCTTTGATAGTGTCTAGTAGGAGGGAGGCAATGAGTGGAGTAGATGCATAGCGTTCTTAATGTTAGAAAGCTCATCTCCCATACTTTGAAGATCTACCAACAAATCTCTGTAGGCGTGAATGTGATCCTGAATTCTCGATACCGGCCTCATCCTGAAATTCAATAGCCTCATGTAGGTATTCATCACATGGGAGATTTTTTTCTAATGAAACCGTCTGTGTAGGGCATCAAAAAGATGTGTAACCTCAGGATACTCCTCAACTTGCTTCATAACCGAAGGATCTAGATAACCCATCACAATGCAGATTGCTTGCTCTTGTGAATCCTTCCAATCAATGTCGGTAATGTGCATTGGTTTGTCTTTAAGCACATTTGCGAGACCCATAGATCTCAACTTGACTTTCACTTGCTTTTCCCAAAGTAGGTAATCGGATCGGCCATCAAGAAGAAGAATGTTGTATCTTGTTCTTCCATCTTGTTTCGATGCCATCTTAGTTCGATGAAAACTAAAAACACAGTCTGCTGCATGGTCAATTTTGTCCTTCAGGTGCATTTTCAGCTGCTCAAAATGGTCAAGATGCAATAGACACGTCAAGAGCTTTCCAACGATCTCCAATTTGCCTATATGTCGGCAAAGAGTGGCTGGAACGAAATATGCACAAACAAAATATTCTTCAAACAGGTCGAAATCTTTCGAGGATTAAAATCTTGATGGCAAAAAACTGGTATGGCTGACACAGCCCGCCAGTGCGCGAATTCCTTTTGCGATCACTGTCGCCCGCAATACAGTGTGATCACTCGTGATCACCGTTGCCCGTGACAACCGTCACTAGCAACTTTACGTCCGTCACCCACGACTCTTGTCGCCCATGACCACCGTCGCCCGCGACTTAAAATAATCCGTCGCCCGCGACTGAAAAAATCCGTAACCTACGATTACCGTTGCTATTAGGACTACCACCGTAAGTACCACCGTTGACAATGTTTTTAACTGACAACGAGTGCTTGCGCTTTAGCCACGTATGCACCGACCACGTCTACAGAGCACATTGACCGTAACCACGACCACGTGAGCTCGTACCACGTCTTTCTTTGACTGCGTCTACTGACCACGTTGTTTTTAGAGATCGTTCCATCTTCACCTTCTCCGCACTAGAGTTAGCCTCGTAGTTCGGAAAGAGAGATGAGAGCCGCTTCGGCTCTGCCGCTCGGGAATGCACGGCTCCAACCTTGCCTAGGGGTAGGAAGGAAGAGCCCCACGGTAGGGGCCGCTCCTAGGTCGCTCGATGTGGGGGAAGGCCTCCTTTGCCCACAACCACGTCCCTGATCACGACTACAATCACAACCTCGACCGTAATCACGTTCGGCTCAACTATGACCACAACTGATCACGTTCACAACGACCTCCTTCGACCACAACCACGTCCGACTACGAATCGTGTTGTGCTCATCGTGACCACGTACAATTGCGACTATGCAAAACCCTAATCGTGTACCACGTTCAACTGGATGCAGACCACGTCCGACTACGACTTCGTAGAGAACTCCGCACCGTCCATTTCCTTTTGCCCCGCGAGTCTTATGAGTTAGAAGATCTGTGAGGTACGTCCACAGCCATAGCTTAGTTGGTTAGAGCTTCGCTTTCACAAGCCGAAGGTCGTGGGTTTGTGGCTCCCCTTGGACATGCTCTCGCTTTGGCCGCGCAGGTGGTTGCCCTCTGCGCGGGCCCTGCCCGCGACGTGAAGTATTGCGCGGGTGTAGCGGCTGCTCGTCGCTGCCCTAATCTGAATCCTAACCGTGGGGGTGGCGGCTACTCGTCTCTGCCCTATCTAAACCCTAACCGTGGGGGATGACGGCCAGTTCCTCGCCACCCTAACGCGATCCCCTATCGCGGAATAGGGGGCCGGTACCTCGCTTCCTTAAAAGAGTCTGAGCGCACTACCTTCTGGCTCGATCTTCTCACAGTTCACAGCAACTCAACTCAATTCGCCTTCCCCACTCGACAAATCAGATACAACATCTCGAGAGTATTTATAGCAGATTTCCTTCTGCCGTGTTGTGAAGATGGACGAGATAAGACGAAGCAAGCAGCTGCCACATGCAACTTCGAAGCAGACTTTGAACTTCTGAACTTCTGTCTGTTGCGAGGTCTCGAACTTCAAACTTCTCTGCCAGCTACGTCTCAAACTTCGAACTTCTCTATCTGCTGCGAGAAGGTATTGACTTCAAACTTATGAAAGAGCTCGGACACTACTGCACTTCGAACTTCTGTCTGCTATGAGGTCTCGAACTTCAAACTTCTCTGTCTGCTGCGTCTCCAACTGTGAACTTCTCTGTCTCGGGCACTACTGCACTTCAAACTTCTCTGTCTGCTGTAAGAAGGTCTTGAACTTCAAACTTCTGCAAGAGCTCGGGCTCTACTGCGCACGAGAAAGCTGTGCAAGCCAAGGACTTCGAACTTCTGCAATAGCTCTTGAACTTCGAAATTCTGCAAGAGTTTAGCATACAGCGCAAGAGAAAGCTGTGCCAAGGATTTCAAACTTATGTCTGCTGCCAAGGTCTCAAACTTTGAACTTCTGCAAGACTCGACAAAACATTCCTGAACTTCGAAGTGAAATGAAAACTGCAAAAATTGTAAAAAATACAATCTTTGTCAAAACTGTTACTTTTTTAGCAAAGTTTATTTTGGAAAAAATAAAACTTTCAAACCTCTGTCATGAGCTGAGAATAAAATCACAATCTTTCGAAACAAAATAGCTACCAAAAATTGTGACTTCTGTTACAAACTTCCTCACTTCTGCCAAAAAACCATCGCTAACAGAAATCTATCAGAGAAAACTTAAATTTTCAACTTAACTACAAACCCTAAACCTGCAAAAAAACTAACAGAAAAAACTGTGAGAGACAAAAAAACTCCGTTAGACTATCTTGACTCTAGAGACACAACCTTACAACACACATTCCAAATCGAAACAAGACTCTGATACCATTTCTTGACATTAAACCTAAAACCAAGTAAAAATCACATGAGAATCACACAAGACACTCATATAACGTGGTTCACCCTCAAGTGCTACGTCCACGGCTAAAACACGCGAGAAGGTTTACTGATAAATGAATACACAATACAGCTTCTTATTGAAGACTTGGCCTTGGGTGTATATTTATACCCAAAGCCAGCGACACACCTAGCTATAAATAGCTAGAACCTTAAACTACTCTTTAACCGGAATAAAATTCAACAATTATCAAATCAAATCAAAAAAAATTTGCAAAAGTTAAAGTGTAAATTGATTCATGCAATTTTTAAGATTAGAATATTGACATTTACATTGGTGATATAATTGCTTTGATATTGGAAAAATAATAATTTTGAATTTAAATTAAAATTTCTAAACTTTATCAATAAATCTGAGTGAAACATTGAAATGCAAATAATTCTTAATAACAAGATGTGAAATTTTTTGTTACTTTCAAAAAATCAAACTTTACTTGAAAATCATTAGATAATAGAATCATTAAAAATTAAAAAAAAACATTCAAAATTGAATTAATGACTAAAAATTTTACACAAGAAAGAATTGAAAAAAAAAAATTCTAACTTATTGTAGCAAAATGTATTACAAATTTACTACTATATACATTTATTGCAATTTTAGTCATAATATAGTCACAACATTATCCCAAGACAACGAACGAAAACGTGGAACAATCAGATCATAACAAGCTTCATGTGCTTATTACATCGCCAAAAAAAGGCCGACTTTTCCACCTCCATGGGAATGTGTCTCCACAAATTTTATACACATCATGGTTGCTGGAAATTTTACACAGAATCATGTGCCAGTGAGCGAAACCAATCGCCTCATGACCTGAGATCCTTCGACATCGTCTCGTGCCAATTCTACTTTGGCCCACAGGAATTGTCACCCGTGCCGAGCGAGTTTAAGAGATACGCATTTCGTCCAAGAGCTTGTCTTGCCGTGTACTCAGCAATCCTCATTTATTCGCCGCAGACGCACCTAGTGAGACTTGGAATTCTAATTTGCTCCATTCTGATTTTGCCCTATAAAAAGGTACGTACTCTCTGGAGAATGTCGTGAGGTTCCCACCGGCATATCTTCCATACAGAGATGTCCAACAAAATGTTTTGAATACCATTCAAGTGCTGGTTCTGCTATCTGCCCACCTCGTAAGACGCATCGATGTTGCTCCGATCAAGGCGTGCAGAGGACAACACACGCTCGGCGGGCGGGCCAGAGGAGTCAGTGCTTTTCATAGATGTCGAAAACGAAAAGGAAAGAGGCCTGAAAACGCTAAAAGGGTTCTGGGGTACACTTTCGACCGGGAACTCTGCGTCCCTGGCCTCACACAAGACTCTAACAATCTGCTGCATATCAGGTCTATTTACAGACTCTAGGGCAATACAAGACACCGCGAGCTGAATCACTTTTATCATCACGTCTTCACTATACTGCCCATCGAGATTTTCATCTGCAATTCCAAGAATGTTCGTCGGCAACTGCCGTTTCACCTGCAACAGCCAAAGCGTGCATCCGCGTTTCAGATGGAGATAAAGCGGTTTTTTTCGATTATTGCAAAGTCAAGGACGTCATAAGCGCTGTTATCCATTTGTAGCCACTTCAATACTAACCCATTCGACGAGGGTTCCCGCACTTCCATCTGGAAGTTGGGAAGTCATGGGAGGAACTCCAGATATCACTTCCAGAAGCACAATACCGAAGCTGTACACGTCGCTTTTATATGTTAGCCGCTGTGTCATGAAATACCTGCAATTGCAAACCGGGTCGACAGCTCAGAGTTGTAGCGTTGTGGTTTGTATCTCGCCAATTGGCAGGTCATGCAAGCACATGTCTGATCTCATGCAAGCATTGAGGGCTTCCGAGGGCATATGGAAGGAAGTTGAGGGCTTACTCAGGATCAAAATATCCGGGCGTGCCCACAACAACGGTGGAAATACCACTCTGGAAGCCTCCGTCCGGTCCAGCCTTCGAGAGACCGAAATCGGCAACCTTGGCAACGAAATTTTCGTCCAGCAGTATATTGGAACTCTTGACATCGCGATGAATGATTTGAGGATGACAGTCTTTGTGAAGGTATTCCAGCCCTGAATCAGCGAGACCAGGATGTAAGACGCCGTTCCTCGTTCTCGAAGAACGTTAGCCACAAACGTAGAGCTGTCTGTCACTAAAAGCGATTTCAACACGAGCGGACTTCGTTCCCTCCGAAACATGAGTAGCTTGTCCTTACAGGACTCAGCAGTCTTGTATACCTTTGGCAGAGTCTATGGCGATGTCGAGACGAGTTTTCCAGCTTAGCGGTTCCTTCGTCTCCAGGTTACCTGTAAGCAAAGCGGTACATTTCAGTGGTCGGATGGTAAGTAAGGTGGTCTGCCAGTCAAGATCTGGACTTTCCGGTCCACAACTTGTCGATAAACATGCTTATTCCAAGTAATTTGTAATGTAATCTGAGCTATCTCGGAGTGATCTGATTACCCACCGCTTAGATGCTCGCGTAAGTTTCCGTTGCCCATGTGCTCATAGACCAGTACCTGCTGGTCCATTTCTTCACAATAGCCTAGAAGAGAAACCAGATTCCTATGGTGGACTCTCGACAATAGCTTCACCTGGTACAGGCATCAGTCACAGTCAGGAAGAGGCCAATTTGAGCTGAGCGACATTGCGATGAAGAGCAAATTAACTAGGTTGTGGGAGGGATGCTGGCTGCCTTCTATCTGTAATTCTACGACAATCATTGATGCTGGTGCGGTAAACGCTCTAAGCCATTGGTCAGAGGAGATCTGAGGGAACGAAGTTGACGAGCGTAACTTACGAGACTTGTCACTCACCTCATTTATGAATTCATTGATTCCTTCACGAGACTTGGCGTCATGTACTTTCACGGCAATTTTTTTGCCTGTATCTAGCTCTCCAAGATACACGGCTCCATACGACCCTTGTCCGATCTTCTTTTCAAATTTGTTAGTCAGCTTTTGTATTTGCTCTGACTTGAAACAAGCCGTGTTTTCGTCACCATTGAAGTTCGAAGAATTGGGCTCTCCTGCAAGCCTTCGACGTTCTCTTGCAAGAACTCTTTTCTTCTTCACCACCAGGCAAACAACGATCAGTGAAAGGAAAGCAAGACCTCCAAACACTCCTCCGACTACTGTAGCAACTGAAGCTCCTCCGCCAGACACTCCTCCGACTACTGTATGATTTGACGCTCCTCCGCCAAGGCAAGAATGGGATTTATTTTTGCAATCAAAGAGTGGATTGGCGTCGCATCTGCAAGCAAACATGTTCAAAGCTTAGTCCGGGTCGAGAGCTGTAACAAGACTGGTGCAACCATACAGCTTCTTCTCTGCTCTATACTCTTAGAGCGTGGAGAGACGACTACGAACACTCATGCAGTCTCATCTATACGAGAGAACGGGACATCAGCCGCTGAGTGAAGACCTGGATGCAAAGATGTCGAAATGAGAGCAACGTCAAGTCACTTCCTTTTGAGCTTGGAGGGAGTAAGTACGTACGAGAAGTTTAATTTCGATCCAGGGCACGTCGAAACCGTGCCATTCAGATTGTTGTTCGACACATCCCTTCATTGTGGCACAGAGAATCCATGGCAAGAGGTTAGTTGCCGCACACAGCCTGTCAGAATAAATTCCTAAGAGAATCGGGATGTCCATGATCACTCATGGAGAATTAGAAACCAAGATGTAGTCGAAAGCTTCCACTGTTTTGAAGCACTGGGTGAGCAGATCGTCTTTGATAGGACAAACAAAACGCTCTCTTCTGTCATGAGCAAGAGCATGGATAAGCTAGAATTGCGAAGGAACGGTGAATAAATCCCCAAGATTGTGAAGGCATGGCTCGGGTGTTGCAGGAACTTACAGCTCCACGAGCGACGGAACGAGAAGCAAGTAGTCTGGGAATGCTCCACTTAACTGGTTGTTTTGCAGATGCCTGGCCGCCATAAAAGGATGTCAGTAGTGCCAAGAACAAGAACTGGTGCAACAAGAACAGAACCAGCTCTGAGTAAAGAGAATTCGCTTTCATAAATTTAAGCATCCCACTTACACTGTTACGAGTTTAGTCAAGCCCTTGAGGTCTGGAATCACGCCCGACAGATGATTGTTATCCAGAAGCCTGTGGTATCACATTACATTGATAAGGTGATGTGGTATCGTCAATTCTTTACATGTTCCTGAGGTGCTGGTCGGAACAATCAGGAGCCACAGTCTACCAAACGCCGTGAGAGGTGTCCACTGTTGGAAACAAGTACAAGTCCAAGAATCTCATTGCTACCACAGTAGTCTTATGACTACTGTGATCTGCAGATTGAAGAAGAGGGGCGGGAATGCTTACAATGATGTCAGCTGACTCAAGTCATTTATGGCTGGATTCAAGACTCCTTTCGTGTTATACCCCGAGATATTCCTGGTAACAAGTACAATTCTGCCTTCAGTTGTTGCCAAGAAAGTAAGAACGAGCCGTGTGCTTCCAAATAACATTCTAAATTCGATCCAGCAGAAGTAGACAACGAGAAGTTAAGATTTACACTAGGCCGCCCTCAAATATAAGCATAAAAACAAACATTTGAAAATTTCACAGACCTCTCTCAACCATAATCACACTTGCAGTGGGACCAGTGAGCAAAGTAGAGACTGTGGATTGTACTGCAGAGCCAAGGATTTGAAGTCCCCAAAATTTCTCAGCCTGGGAATTTGAACATGCCTCTTCGTTGACAACAGAACATAATTTTTGCTTGTCATGAGACACTCGAGGAAACTTGAGCCTCCTACACATGCTGACATTGGAAGAAGATTTGGAACCTGTGAGAGGGCAAAATACTCACACTTGAGAGACTCTCGCCGGTTGAAAATTGGTATCGCAAGCAACCCAATCCCACGCGGCAGGATAACACGGATCCCCGGGGTAGTCCGGCAGGTTGAAACCTGCCTTGACCCGCTCCAAAGCACTCGCTGGTCACAAGAAGAGGTAAGCAAAAATCCGATCAGCTCTAGCGATCAATTCATGAGGCGCAGGAATGGGGAAGTCAGACGCGCCTTGCCATTTCACAACCTTCTCAAGGATCTCCCAAGTCTGGAGGGTGACTCCTGTCTCCCACTTACCGTCGTTGGCATCCGTGGAGTTCGAGCTGACGTTGATCATCAAGTATGATTCCGCTGCATTCACTAATGGGAGCAGGCGGGATTCCGGGAGTTTACTGAGAGTGGCGGAAAATCCAGTACTCGACAGGTTGAACGATGATGAGGAAATTTGAATCCCTTCCCCCGTCAAGTTGAAATCCGTCGCTTTGAAGTTCCCGAAATCCATTTGAACTCTGATGCCCCGTACATTCGTCGCGTTGGCATTCGTCGCGTTGGCATTATCATCGATCTCCTGGAAGTAAATTATATTGTAGAAAAGTTGGACTGTTTCGGGAAAGCTGATGACCAGTAACATGTTCGGTTGACTCTCGGTACCCACACAAGCATCCTGCATCACCTTCCGCGGTACTCGATTCCCACTGAGCTGAGGTAGTACAAGGTCAGGGTCCGAGGCCCTCAACGTGCTCGGGCAATAATTATTTCCCACATTCCCGTCAAAATTCCAGAAGCGATCGTACGGATCATCTGGGTACCTGCACATCACGTTCAGATTCTGTCACAGGCCATGAGTTCTTGCCTCGAAAAATCCAATCGGAGCGTCAAGAAGGTCGCCGCATCGTAGGTATTGAGAATGCTTCGGTGTCAGAGTCGCGATTGCCCTTGAGCCCATGAGGACGTTTTTGGGAACTTAGTGCAAACTCTATCGGTGGAATTTGAAGAGCACGAGAGCCACGAATTTGAAGTCTCGAATTCGACGGAGCTCGAGCTCCACGCCACAGAGAGAGAGAGAGAGAGAGAGAGAGAGAGAGAGAATTCATCGATTATCGAAACCTGGCTCGACCGACGAGCGAGTCCGTCAGAACTTTGGTCTAGAGGTCGAGAGCCGTACCTGACTAGCGAGTTGACCGGCGTACCGAAGTTCCATCTCATCCAGCAAGATAGCATCTGTCCTGAATTCAAGCCCGTGTCATGGGCGGCGTACATGGTCGGGTCGAATTTCCTGAGCTCCAACGTCGAAATGAAAGGGTTGCCTCCGCTACCGCGCACGAGGCAGACATTAATCTTGGACCCGGTGGAATTCCAAATGGCTTCGAACACTCGCGACGTGTCTACGCTCGGGGTTTCAGAATTGTACGAGATAGTAGTCCACGGAGTCGATTCGATGAACAGCTGAAAGCTCAGATCGTTCAAAGGCAGGCCAAGGTTTAAAAAGTTGAATACCGTGCGAATGAGGTAAGTCGACCCAGGTTCTGCCGGTACAGTGTAGCAATTCTTCTTGCGCTCGGGGAAGAACCTGTCGTCATCAAGCGGGCTGCCAGTTTTGCTGACTGGTGGTGTGTTGCGTCCAGTGGTTACGTAGCCCTGATCAGTGACCCAGTGGATTCCGGTCGCGTTGTCCGTGTAGTTGACAGTAGATCCGCAGTCTATGCTCAGAAACCCTGCCACCCGCCACACACAAAGCTCCACGGTCAGTCCGCCCGCGTTGAGGTACGGTACATATCACATTCATCACTGACACGATCGTCGAGCGCTTCGATCGTTCGAGCTCCGAGGAGCTGAGCGTAAGAGCGAGCGAACATTCTCATTAACAGTCCGAAGTGTGCGGTACACGTGAGGATGCCATACCTGGTTGTGCGATGACCAGCACAGCGGACAGGCAAAGAACTATGGCTCCAATGCACGGAGCGCTTTTGGCTCCGATCATTGTCAAAGGCTGGAATGTGAATTCTGCATCATTACCCTGCTGTAACTCGACCACTGAGCTTATTTCTTGGCACCTTCGGTGCGAGGAACGATTAAGCAAGCAGCTGCGTGACCCAGATTGGCTCGATCGCTCTCTCTGTCTCTCTCGTAATTGGCAACCTTCATGCGACTGTACAATCTCCAGAGAGTATTGAAAACCTCCTCTACAATGCTTCTGCAATCCACTTGCAACGCCAATCAGACAGCAACTCGGGACCACGTAAGGCGAGATCAATCTCGAGGATCGAACCGTCTCGAATTTCGAGAATTTTTTCGTGAATTTCGACCGATCTCGAGCGACGAAAGGAAACGCAACGGAGAATTCGGCCGGAGGTCCGGACAAGTCGTAGCTGGACGCGCCGCCGGGCTGCGCTCGATCCCGGCGCCGAGAACTTCCGCTCACTCCACCGAGCCAACGATCCGGTTAAATAAGCTCTCGCACAGCCATTCCCCGCCTGACCGGAATGACCGGAAACCTATATCATCTAATATTGTATGGAGGGTCTCCCTACGAGCGACTGGGCTAGCAGCTCAGAGCCGACACCGACGGACCCGGTTGCTGTCCGCGCGGAGGGCAACATGTTTCCTCGTGCGGGAGTCGGCTCATCGTCCAGGCATGCGGTCTCCGAGAGAACGGAATGTTGAGATTCCATGCAGACTTTACGACAGCCAACGTCCCCGGCTCCTGGAGCTGTTCTACCAATTTCCAACCTGGAGCGTTCTACAGGACGTCCACCAGGGTCGACCTCATACCCGACCCCTTCCCCGGGTAAACCGGCAGCAACCGGGTTCCGACTGACCGGCCCGGCGGATTCCCTCCGCCTCGGCTGCGACCCGATCCTCCTCCAGGTGGGAGCTGTGAACACTGTGGGTACTAGACCCAGTGATTCTGCGCAGGCCATGAAATCTTTATCTGAGTCCTGATCTGAAATCTTTATCTGAGTCCTGAGCTGTTGAATTAAGATTCTCGGGAGATACCTGATTTTATGTTTACAGTCCTTTTGTTCTGTAGCTTGTGTCGCAGGTGAGCTCGATTTTAGAGGCGGGAGAAGTCACGACCTGTCCAGTTGGATGAGGTTGATGGGCTTTGTTTGCGAGCCAGCGGCGCAGCCCTGAGTAATCGTCCCTCGAAACCACGTCGGGCATGGAGAAGACGCACGACCCGTTCGTCGCCCACGAGCTCTCTTCCTGACTCCTATAGCATGGCTGTGGGTCTATATACTTAGTTTCTTCGCGGAGTGCGCAGTATAATACCAAATGTATTATACAACATTTAGAGGTACACCACATTTATATGATATAAATGAGGTATATTTCAACGAGAATAATATACAAAGTATATGTTATTCTCGGTCTCGAAATTTACTCGTCGTGCATACCGGTTAAGCCCTTGTCAACGAGATCAAATTCATCATTGCTACCACCGCCTCATCCTCGTCGGGGTACTTTTCAAGTTCAGATCTGTATATGTTGTCAAGGGTTTATGTGGGTCACGAACTTTTGTCACGATGCGGACAGGGAGACGATATGGTACGAGTTTTTCCGTACGCGGTGTCGATTTTTCCATTTCAGAGCGTATTAATAATATAAATAAAGAAATTGAGTACATTTTATTTCACTCTCCATAACTTGTACTTGACATTACAGTATTAATATTAAAAATAAATAAAACGTAATATTAATACTGAAATATTACATTACATTTCATTTTCTCGTTATTATTTCCATGTTTCTCGCTTTGAATAATTAGTCAAAGCGAATTAGTCAAAGTATTAAATCAAATCAAAATACTCTGAAACAACAACTGTTTCAAACCTTCGGGTTTACAACTCAAATAGTGAATGACCCATTTCTGCAGAGTCCAAGTAATTAACGCTACTTCTAAAGTAGTTGCCCAGCACTTCTGATGCTCAATACTACGGGACTCTTCAGACGGTTTAATTCTCAGAAAAACGTTTTTATTTGAGTATTATAGTACTAGTAGGTGGGGGCGAGCAAGACCCGTATAGGGAAAACTGCTTCCCTGATTGATTGAGCTTGAAGAAGGCAATTTTTCGTTCCTTCATTACGAAAGCTTCATGATTCAATTTTCGTTCCTTGATTATGAAGCTCAAATTGAAACGGGATATGCTTTTAAACCAAGTCTCATAAAATCTAATATATTATTCTTGGATGTCAACTTTACCAAAATTAGATTTTCCAAAGCTACATTATTGAGTTATACAGATCAACCATAAAAATATTTTCAATTTAACTTCATAAAATAACCGTTTAAATAAACATTACATGCATGTGAAGAAATACTTTGATATGATATATTCATTTACACCTTCACGGTTCATATGAAATTTTAATATTTTGAAGTTGAAAACTATCAAGACGAGTAGTTCATATACTACTATTTCAAAGTACAGTTACTTGATCAAACCATTCATGACTTGATATTTGAATTGATGAGTGAGAGAATGAAACAATCGAATACCTTGCAATCGATAATGGATAAACATATCGATACTTGGTATAGAAATATTAGTTACAATTGTAGATTTGGTGGTTTCTATAAACTGCAAGAAGAATGGTGAGTTTCAAGGTTTTCAAATATAGAAATTTGTAATCACATCATTTTTTTTCTTCAACCACATAGAAGTTAGTTATTTCTTCCTCGAGCTTTGAGATCTCTACCGCGGACTTTTACACATTCATGAAAGTTTAACTTTCGAAGTGGAAATGCGTCATGTCTTTTGAAATTAAGTTAAATCAATGATAATTTTCGTTGATTAAAACACTTAAACAACATCAAGACTGAAAAATAGTGAAAGTAAACCGTTTAAGCCAAAAATATCAAAATCAAAATGAAGCATGTACCAGAATTATGTTAATTCTCGCAAACTTGGCGTTCGCCAGAATTTATGAATCCTGTTTTAAACCCGATTGGTAAAGATTCGCTCTCACATGTGGGAAACTTTATTATACAATTTGACACCCACGGGGCTCTAACTACCATTGTTTGTGTTCCAGCGGCAACGACATTATCTGCCTTGATTGTATCGTGAAATCCGGACGTTCATGAACGCATGCTGGATTAGAAGGGTCCAGTTACCACAAATCTATCCCAGAGGTCATGCCAGAAAAGAAGCCTTCAACTATGGGATCCATTTGACCACCCAATTTAGAACCCCGCTGATTTCATGCCTTCAAAGAGATTTACATGTCGAAAAACAGGCTCCGAGCAGCTACAACGATACGCGCTCCAACTGACAAACTGCATACTTCCAACACAAGTACAGCATCCTCATAGCACGGCGCAGCTAAGTACTTGATATACTTTATATAGTGCAGTGACTGCGTGCTACCAGTCTATTTTATCTGAGAAAGTGGTCGGTCTTGATATGCATAGCACTCAGAATTGACCTCCTTGACTTTTCACTTGAGCGACTACTGACACTGTGCACACTGAGATTGGTTCAATACAGGAGATGATGTGGGAAAATGACTGAAATATGTAAACCGTGGAATCAAAATTTTGTCGCAGTCAACGGTAAGCATAGTTCCGGTTCCACAATTTCCTTTTCTTCACCTGAAAGAGTATACACCTTCCCCATAACTTTAAAACGATTCAATAGCAACTAAGAGCTCGGGGAAAAAGGCAACTGAAATGAGTTTCGCTCCCTCTTTCCCAGCTTGCATCAAGAAGCCTTCATACCAAGCGGGATGCTTCATATGATGAACACATTTAAGTAGATGAACTAAACCTAGAACTTAGGACAGTTCTAACCAAGTCACGGTAACTACAAAAGCCCATATTTGAGGCTAGGACCACAGATAGATACCTGACAACAAGAGAATGAAAAATCCTTGCACAAAGTCATGGAAGAAGTCATAGGACTCACGTCGTGAAGCACTGAACTCCCGTAGTTGGCAAGAGTACAAGCGTCTAAACAAGGTCCCTTTCCATCAGCTTTCCTCCATCGTCCGCTGCGTACATGCGAAACAGAATAAACATCCGCTAAATTTTGTATAATTACAGCTAAAGTACGTATAGTTCAAGATAAACCGGAGTTCGGAACACACCTGTCGCTTGCTGACGTAAGGGCGAAGTTTTGTATTATCGAGTATTGTCCTTCTGCTTTCTCCTCTAGACCTCTTCTTCCGTTCTGAGCGTTTCTCCGATTCGAACTCCTTCCTTGTTTCCCGACGTGACCCACTTTGCCAAACACGACCAAAATTGGGTAACCACGTGGCGCTACCTGGAACACTTTTCTCAACTACTTCCCCAGCATGCTCTCTCTCCATTTCAGCCCTACGTTGTTCGGCCCATGCTGCTCCCACTCGATTCGGGTTCCTAAGCTTTGCTAACTTTCTTTCCTGGGTCCTAGAAAGAGGCAGTGAAGAGCCTAAGTGATGGCTAACACTGGCTGGCAATTGGCTCTTTTGACCGGTGTCGTGCCTAATCCAAGGTGGGATAGCCCCTGAATGCACGTTGCCTTCTCCAGGATTCAAAGAAGGAGGTCTGATGACTGTGAAACCTGCCCCATGCAAGACAACTTCCTTAGCTCGTCATCAGCATGAGATGTGATAGGATTTATCCTCAAAACCTGATTACTCTTACAATACAATTACTCAATTACTCTGAGTAATTGAGTAATTGTACTCTTAAATATCTGCCTCCTAGCCTCGTTTCGATTACCAAGATGTTTGAATGTTGGCAACAACAGGATGTAGAGACATGTATTCTAGATATGGATGATTTTACGCAAGATATCAAACAGCTGCAGGAGGAGCTTTTGACTATTGACACGTTCGGCATACCACAATTTGAAGTTTGGTGATTACTAGACGTCTCTGCATCCAACACGTGAAATGGGATGGAAGCAACATTGTACCTTTCCCAAAATTATTCTCTGTTTGTCGAAGGGAAACGGAAACTCCACCAGGACCTCTATTTTGCTGTTGGCAACACAAAAAGCGAAGTGAATTTCATTGACGTTCGCTGTAGCTGAGGACAGAGATTCTTTTAGAGTCGTCTGGTAAGAACAACTTAACTAGAGTCATCAATCAGGGAAGTATGAGGTCAGTATTTCTACACCGACAGATGCTCACAGGACGAAATGAAAATCATGCTCTCCATAAATTTACAAAATGCATGACTCCGATCGATAGCTAAGTTACAGGTGCAATAATAAGGAGAGATAACTTTCCTAAAATGGAGGTTCGAGACTCACACTGTCAAGACTTCCACTCCACATTTGCTTGCCGTTCTGAAACCCTAAGAGGCTGGACGGGGAACTCTGTGACTTCGAGTAACCCTGTCCACTCAACGCAGGATCTGGTTTTGATCAAGAGCGAACGTTTGAGTAAGTTATTCGGAAGGGAGATATTGATCAAAAGAGCTCACAGCAATATCAAGAAATTGTTTTCTTCATTGTTGATGAACAACAGCTGAGAGTTATAGCCAGTTCAAGTCTTTCGAGGCTTTAAGAGTCAGCAAATACCTGCAGGAGTTGCGACATGAAGCTGCCAACGCGATTGGCCCGGGAACGCGGGCGCATCCTGGATCAAACTCTTGCTGTCTTGGAGTGTTCCATAATCGGCACAAGATTTCTTGAGGTCGTTGACAGTCCCAGGCTGAGTAGATGTGGCAGCTTCAAGCTGAACCTTGCCATTTGAAAGGCAAGTATGCTGAAAACTTTGATCCGTAAGGACTGATAAAGGCTTAACAGCTAATGAAGAACCAAAAACAATTGAATTTTCATTAACATTTTCACTGGAGGCCGCATCAGCAATACTTCGATCAGAGTGGATATTATTCATTTGGTTGCCGAGTGAATCGTGTCCATCCTGCAGAGGTGCCATTCTACATGCCTCCTCCCACTGTAATCAACAGTCAAATGCAAAAAAAAACTTTGATTCGTCAAGACAGCTGTATATTCAGTTTTGAAAGATTGGAGCCCATATCCTTTCCAACATACAAGGTAGTCAGGTGTGGACTTCAGCAACAGCAATATGTATAACCCAAACTCATTATCCACATATTACTAAAAACTTCATTGCCATTCTGTGACCGATTGAATGCAGTCAGACAGCGTGTAGTGTTGCAAAGTATTCAGATCTTTCCCACTGTGGTTCCAATTGTTTGCCCAATATGACATGCTTGGCAAAAGTGCAAGGCAAATAGCTGAAAAGCTCACCTTTTCCAAATCGATCTCGGAGAAGTGGAACAAAGATCGCTTCCCAACATCTCCCCCGTTCTCAAACCAAAATCTCTTCACAGCCTCCACGTGCGTCTTGCTGGCAAGATGACGAATTGTTTCCGCACTAAACCAAAAAAATATGAAAGTCAGAAAAACTGTATTTCTAATAAGTGTCATGGTTTTGCGAGAACGATATTACGTGAAGAGAGGAAAAATTCTGGCATAAGAAAATGCAGCAAATGAAGGGCTGAAAGTGGTGCAGAATGTTTTCCAAACTCGTAAGCAGACTAGTAAAGACAAAAATTTTCCGGGAGATGCAACAGGGAAAGGAAAGTACCACGCAAATTCGCTCTTGTCTTCGGAGGTTTCCTGCTCACAAAAATTGCACCAAAACTTGCTGCGATTTCCGAAATCACCTCTCAGACGCATGGCATTCTTCAAAAAGAACTTAACCTCCTGGATATTTTTCTGGAACTTTTTAAGTAGCGCATCTACGCGCAGCTTATGCTTGGTGGATAAACGATGTCCCTTGCCCTGATTGTGATTGTGTCTGCAAACCCGACAAAACTGATACTGCATTGGCATGGCATCCGTCGAGCATGTGACTTAATTCAACCCTATTCTTTCTCCAACCTCAGACAACGCTGAAAATTAATTCCTCGTCCGCGGTGTGCAAGAACTGGAGTCAACAAGAGCAATGTTTGGAAGTCAGATTTTGAATCAAAAACGTGCTTCTTGATTCTGAAACTCGTGCACGATTCTCAAAAACCCCAGAACGCATAGGAGATCGACAAAACCTCATAACCTGCTAATATACTGACAAACAAGGAGTCTCCACATATTGCCTGTCATCCTCGTAACAGTAAGCAATTTGGTGAATTCCAACGGAGTGTTCATAGCCAAACACATCTAGGTGTAGAGCTTTCCAAAATATGCTTCACATAGATGATTTCGAAGCGTCGGGGTAAACCACAATGTATCTCCTCCAACCTGTCATGATCCGAATACAGACGAGAAATTCGCCTTTGCACCAGAATCAAGACATCTCCTAATTTTCACTCGAGTCTCCGTCTACCGGACGAACCTTGTCAGTTCGGTAATTGATGTTGCGGGCACTCTCAGCCACTTGAGAGACCAGGCCCAAGCAACTTGCACGGAAACTCATATATTCAATCTACAATCAAAGGTTGTCATGCTTCCGGGAACAATGATCTCCGCTTTCTACGGGGTTTCTCCCCAGTCCGTCGAAGATGCTCGTGCCTGAGCTCCCGCGACCATTTTATGTTGCACCAAAGGTGGTGCGTCAAAACAATCAGCGTGCCAAAGGTGCCTTCAACTACTCTCGCTGTCCGAGGCTTCGACAAACCTCCTCCTCAGTTCGATGAAAGTGTCGACAGGGGAAATCCATTCAACAAGCTTTTGGAGATGTTTCTACCCGAAGAAAAGAAGAGTCCTCCTCGATTGATTCAGCTGCTCCGAATCACGAGCATGATCACAGCCAACCTCCGCGTTGCTCGACGATCGGTCGGTGCCATGGCGCCAGTCCATCTGCCGAATCTTCATTCAACGTCGCGCCTACGACCACAGTCGACCATCCCTGAAAGCCCTGTCCCGTTCCGTCGCAGCTCTCCTTCGGGATCCTCGACGGTTTTCCATCCGCTCAAGCAAGAAAGAAGCGCGACGCATGGAAGACAGTGACGGCGGAAAACACGACGACGCGGTGAGCACGGAATGGAACGTCACGTCACGGTCTGTCCTCGTTCCATGGAAAAGGAGCGCTAGCGCCAATTCCGAACACTGAAGAGAGTTCCTCACTCGTCTCGTTCAAAGCATCTACATTTGCTTTGAACGTGATTCCAAACCCGAAAATAGCCCCATTCATGTTTGCTCTCGTGACCCAACTGGAGAGAGTCCTTGATATAACTTCATCCTTCTGTATAATCTTTGGTAAATTTATCTCTGTTTCTAAACAAGTAACTTAAACATATATAAGAAGTAAAAATATTACACATAATATCGTAAGATTTTTTTTTGTATTTCAATTTATTTTGATGCTATGAAAATATCTTACATTTTATATAACATAGTCATTTATTTCTTAATGTAATCTATACATTTTAAAAATATGTAATGACATTTGGAAATGAAATTTATTTATTATGTTTAGGAACTTTAATTTAGTAGGATATTCCTAATCGAAACATTTCCACTTGGGCTGCCACTTGAATCGCACATTTCTTTCCGTCACAAATCTATGTATACATGGAACCAATGTTCCAGCTAAAATCGAAGTACTGTATATAATCAGCCCGTAACGCCCTTCCTGGTAATTGCTGCTGGCCTTTTCTCACGTATGCAATGAACTTCTCGCTGGACTTTAGTTGTCTCCCAAGATATTCTTCGCTGATTGACTCTTTATCTTATGCAATGAAACCAATCTCCATTCTTTGACTATTGCTTGAGGAGGGTGTACTGTGACCTAGGTTTCAAAGTTTCTTCTTGATTATACGCTCAAGTATCAAACTACCTGCGGCTTGGATATGGTCCTTTTCTAAGATTATTACTATTTTGATGACATATTCACTTGAATAAGATCTAAAGTATTGTATGTTTTATGTCAATTTGGGTTTCTTTCGCTTTTTGTATTATTTCTTTACCTTGATACTTTCTCATTGCATACTTTTCTATGATCATGTCATAAATGTTACAAATGTGATGTTCAAAATTTACATGCAAGAAAATTCATAATAATGCTTCTAAATGCTGCGAAGAAAAAACTAAAACACATGTGAACGTTATTGAATGCATTTCCAAAATTGATAAACACCTTAATGTGTTGATATCGAACTGTATGTTGATATCTTTAAACAGAATGGCATCAAATGAAGCTAAAAATCCACACATCTCCTGGTAATTCATAGTTTTTCATCAATTTACAGTATTTTATGGGCATGTCGCTTCTCTGTGCTGGATGGCACAAATCACAAGGCAAATTGCGAGCTCTTGCTTCCAGTTTTATTCGAGGAAGGCTCCTCGTACACCACGTTTTGGTACGAGGTTGATCGAGGCAACGTGGTCATGGTCACCTGCAGTCGGCATAAGTGCCGACTGCAGATTCGCTCCTCGACGTGGTCATCGTACTCGAGTGCAAGCAGATCTTCGACGAAGAAGACTCGATCACCATCTCCTCGAAATCCTCGCGCTCGATCAAAATTGTGAGAAGAGGTTTCGGGGAGGCGTTCGATGCCCCAAAACTCGCGACAGTCACAACCAGATCGGATTCGCCGAGCTCGACCTCGTTGTCTAATGCTCAGATCTTCGTCGCTGGTTCTGAAATTTCACCTGTGCGAGGAAGTTGGGATTCTTCACGGACCATCTGCCATGAATTCGCCGAGGCACGCCAAGTTCGGGAATCGCATCCGGCAGATGCCAGGATTCAGCCACCAGGGGCTATCGGGTGCTGCAGTGGCGACGGCTTTGGCCTTGAATTCCTCGTGGCCCGGAGGAGGCGGCAGAAAGCCCAGAGTGGCTCTGGTCCTCGCGAGGGAAGCTGCGTCGCTCTGCCCGTCCGGCGATGAAGCCGGAGGTTTGGAGCTCGACTGGCCTGGAGTCGGAGGTCGGCTCGCCGCAGGCGTCGATGATTTGGATTTGGGAGTCGCGTTCGAAGCAGGCGTAGATGCTTTGGATGCGTTGTCGGAGGAAGCGCCATCGACGGAAGAAACCGTGTCTTTGGATTTGGCGCTCGGTGCTTCTCGTTTGTCATGGGTAGAGGCCAGATTGTGAGATTTCGTGCTCACCGCGTCCTCGCCCTTTTTGCCATCGCCGATCGAAGACCTGCGGGAGGCGGAAGTGACGGTCGAGGATTCCGAAGGAGAGCTGGGACGTTCGTTGATGGCCGACCCCGGGCTCGGCAAAGATTTGGCAGATGGGCTCGTGTCACGGGACCGCCCGAAAGCAGAAGACCCTAGACTGGAGATGGAACTGGCCGATGGACTCTTCTCCAGCGAATGCGCAGGGCTAGAGACAGACGTGGCTGATGGGCTGCCGTCATGGGACCGCCCGAACGTCAAGCAACACGGAGGTTGGAATTGATCATAATCAGGCGATGCTGAGTCCCTCGATCCGCTGATAAAAGGCTGAAGCGGACTGCAGCAGCTCGGGAGTACAGCGCTCAGTGGGCATGGACATGGGCATGTGATTGGACACCAAGACTTGGGGATATCTTTATCACAACTGCACTCCTGAGCAACGGGGAAAACCAGCGGCTTGGGCCGGCGCTTCTTTTTCTTGGGTGGAAATATGTCGTAACGCTTTCGGGGATTCATGTACTGCGGTCGAACATTCTTGTACTTATCATTGCGCAAAACTGGGACGATCCGACTGTCGAGAATGTTCTGAAATTGATTGTACTTGTAAGTTTTCCTCCAGGTAAGCATAGTCGTCATATTCCACTCCTGCACATTCACAATCGGGGAAATTGAGACACTCGCTGCTGCGAGAACCTTGACTGTAAATCATCCGCTCGACCACGACCTTGAGACGCTTGTTGGAAAAGATTTCACTGCAAATAACGATCCTCACCCCGACGACGGCCTAAATATCAGACTAATTTCGCCTGAAGCGAGATCTTACCAAATTTGAGAGCGTGGACATCTTAGGATGTTCTGTTGAATCTCACTTTTTTATGCAACGCACGGCGACATCGCAAGTCCACCTTGGTCGTGCCCATGGTCGTACTGGAAGTGGGCAAGTTTTGTGATGATTTGGGACTCCGAACTTTATTAGATGTTGGAGTTCGATGTCCACTTTTCGTTTCCAATTTCGACTCTGATACTCCTGTAGAGTCCGATTTGAAGTATCCCTGAAACCAGTCAGTGAACGGCACGGCATCGGGAGGCTCATATCTGTTAGCCTTCTCCGCATTCATAGCCTCAGATAATCTTTTCGTACTATGTTCCGGCAGTGAGTAAGCAGGTATCGTGGAAGAATTCCATTCGACTTCTGATGAAGCATCGAGCTTTCTCCTGTTCTTCGCCGGCTGCATTGTGACGTGATATCGAATGCGAGTCAATTCGAAATCGGCTGAACATGGATCTCCACCAAGGCCTATTTGTAGACACACGAGGTCAAAGTATCAATTGGAAGACGGTGGTGTTGAAGGTCGTGCCTCTTCATCTCATTGAACCCTAGCCCTTCGAAAATTAACCCGAATGAAGGATGCCAAGTTGATGTCTTTGACGAAATGTAAATCCATTCTCCAGTCTGTTCAGCGTTCTCAATGTGCAGTACACTCTCGACGCCCTGCGGAATTTATTCACATGAAGTCATTTACCTTCCGCTGAAAATCTCGACGATCACATCAATCCTCTTTCAAATGGAGCGTCCAACCCTCGCTCTAGATTTATATTACTACTTCACGGGGCGAGGACTTAGCTTGCGAGATCTACACCGAGAACATTTGGGCGACAACAAAGTATGACTGAAGTTTTCTACGAAGAATCTAACCAGGGTACTAGGTGCATCTTGCGGAGTACCAACAGAATGCACTCATCTCTATGGCATTCTGTCTGTGATGTCAATTAATACTTTCTTCCAACCCAGTTGAAGCTTGTTTACTTCCTCGTACCCGAATTTCAATTTTCACTCTCTCTCTCTCTCTCTCTCTCTCTCTGCGAAACCTTAGACACGGGTTTCTGACATGCAGAACCCCTCGAAGAGATGGTTCAGTGCAAAACATATGGGACCAAGTTTAGGAGAACAAGTGCATGCAATTGTCAGCACGAAAACAAGTGCATTTCAGTTTCCCAAGCGGAACTAAAGGTGAACCGGAACTGCTTGGGAAACTGGGTTCTGAAAGAGATTTGAGTGATCTGAAAACTTAAGGTTTCTGATCTGGTGCTGGCGAAAAGGTAATAGCAAAATAGAATTCCATCTTTTGGCACTAAACATTCGTATTACAAACGGCGCAATTTGAAAAAGCGGGAGTCCTAACCGACCAAGTACAGAGTAGATACTGATGGTTCTGACTAATCGATGGAATCGTTGAAGTCGATTTCCATAGGCAGATTTTCACTGCTTTGATTCAATCCCACCTGTGGGACCATAGCTCAACATACCAATCCGATGTATCGGTGATACCAGCGTTCGCTTTTGAGAGACATGTACATATTCTTTAGCACCCCATGTCTCCGTGTCTTTTTTTCTCACACGTGAATGTGATACTATTGTAAATACTGTATAGTATGAGCTCATTTGACTCTATAGATTTCAGTGTAGCTATCCATAGTGTATCACATCGTTTATTACACTATGATGCAACTTGAAATTAAATAGCACTGGTATGCTCTGCAGTTGACGCGAATAATTGTCCAAAGTTATTAAGCAAGGATTGTGAATGTGATGATTACCAAATCTATCCGGTATGGAGTTTTTGATAATCTGAATCTCCGTCTTTACATCACGCGATTGTGGAAACAATCTCCGAATGGAAATATTAGATTGGTATGCATAGACGTGAACTCCTTAATATCTTATGATTGTAGTTCTATGGTGTCACAGATGTGAATTTTGGCTCTTCCATTGCGCTTCAGAGCAATATACTAATCACAAAGTTCATCAATTTTCCAATAATATTGTGCAACTTATATCTATATAAAGAGCACCACTTAACAATATATATATAGAAGATAAATCATGTAGATGATAAAGAATATTATGTATAAATTATTTAATTTTGATGATTCAAATTATATTTTAGTTATGTATTATTCTCATCACAAAACTTGCATAGTCAAGTATATATTTGTTTTGTCATATCCATGGATTGATTCTATCTTTTTGACTTTTCATGTAATATTATCAAAAAAGTCAATAATAAACATCATTTCAAATTTAATTTATTCTGTACTATATATATATGACAGAAATCCATGATTAATTTTTTCAATCTAGATTATAATGCATATCAATTTTTTCAAAGTAAATACATAATGATTTGATTTAATGATTAAATGAACCAATCGATATCACTGTTGAGAAAACATTTAAAATTTTAATCTATAATAGATTTCTTTAATGATAAAGATAAAATATTTATACATTCATTTGACATACATAAATTATTAATTTAATTTTGTAAAAAAAATTTGGACAAAATAAATTAATTGATTCAATTTTTTAAATAAAATAGCATTTAAATTGAATTTACATATTTTTAGTATATCATAAACATCTAAATAGTGTGTTACAATGATATTAGAGTTATTCTTATCCAAAATACAAAGAAAAATGACAGTAAACTATATATTTTGAAAATTATGTAAAATTGAATGTATATCATACATCTGTGTGTAGAAAGAAAAAAATATTCAGATTTGTAAAGATGATTAACAGATTTTCAAACTAGAATGTTACATTGTAAATCACTCTAACTTGAAGTTTTTATATATAAGAAAAGATCTTTTTTGAATGTATAATTTGATATGTTGACGCAAAATAAATATAATGATATAGTCAAATAAATTTTGTCTTGAAACCAAAATAGTATGAAAAATCTAATTGTTTTTATATGCTATTCTATGGTATACTAAATACACTGTACGGATTTAGTAATTCAACGTAGATCACAAACAACTTCATGTTTTCTTAAGACCTTAAAACAAATATAAATCTTATAAAAGATTTTCTTGCAATCTTTTATAAGGTTCATATTTGTTGCTTACTTGCTCAAATTGCTTGTGAATGTCAATTTTGATCTACAAATATTAGTACTTGCTTTGTCCACTCCTTGAAAGTGATTGTGAATGACAATCTTCATATTCAAATATTACAGTTTGAATGTGTATAAATATATTAGAGTCAGTGCTTTTTTTACTATTTGAGATGTAGAATAATATAGAGATAATCTTTTAGGATTCATGACAATTTGTATTCAAAACACGATGTATAGTATCCAAGATCTAAATCTAAGAAGAAAGATGAAATCTCATCTAACTATGCTTTTAAAGTGAAATTTTCCAAAAATTCTTCACATCATAACTTCTTTATGTACCTTCAATCTTCTTTGAAGATCAGCACATAAATTTCAATTAAATAATTCATAGATTCCATTTATATATGTAAGTTCTTAAAGTACTGTAGAGAAAGATAAACTTTTATTCTAGACCCGATATAGCAGCTTGCAGATGCAATTGCTCTTCATTTATTTTCGAGGGTGTTTAGAACTTTCAACAAGATTATTATGATCTTCAAAAGCATTTTTACCTTTTGGTTGTAGGTGATATGATCCAACCTTCAAATCTCTACAAGAATTTAAATCTTCAAAAAGTGGAATTCAAAGAACGTGTTGCCTTGTGTGTAAGCCTAAGGCGAAGGGTTGTGAGGACCGAGATTGAGGTATAGAGAAGAGTTCCACGAGTGGCAGGGAATGTGTCACCGAGTCGCTATCCGCTCCAGATAGCGAGGACTCGTGAAGTAGAAGGAAAGGGACGAGGAGCGCGGCGAGTTTCGTCACTCAAGGCTGCAAGTCGTCGTCATTTGCGAGAGGCTTTACGAGGTATTCGTGTACAGTCGGCCGATTGAATATGGCAGCCGCATTGACGGTGTCTGGGGTTGCGACTGTAAGTCTACTTTTATTCATGTCAAGTTGCATCTGCTTTTGTGTGCTCCGATGTTTTGTGGTTCAACCTTTTTAACGGAGCTCGAATTCCTCGAGTTCTCGACTCTTCATTTTCAAGCTAGCGCTTCTTGAATTCAGACTAGTTATGAGGAAGGAATTAGCAGAAGGCCGTGAGCCACTGCTGAGGTTTGATTTGATTCGATTTGCTTGGATGTGTTCGGACTTTAGTGTTCACAATCGAGTCCGTGGAGGTTCGGAGCAAGCAAAACTTTTCCAGGATTGGAGGATGTAAATGCTGGCTCATTCTTCTGCTTGCACACTCCTGGCGGTATTGTCCTGAAGCAGATGCTGTGTGGGATCTCACCGATTCCTGTGTGTTCTACTTGTAGATACAGACTTCCTTTGTCGGATTACGAGGAGGTCGCCCATCTTCCAATGCGTCCTTCGTGAGTTTTGCTCATGCTACGAATAATCGCAAAAGGCTTCAAGTGAAGGCATTTTTCGATGTGCAAAATGATCCTATCGTGAAAGAGGTTCTCAAGGTACGTAACAGAGAAGTCCTATTTTCCTGTTTGTTTGATGCTGTGATATGAGCTAGACTGCCGAACCAGCACCCTCTTTCATCGTTGTCATTTTTGGCGTAGATCAATTATCTATCGCTTAGGGCTCTTCAGTTTTCCGTTGTGAAAAATAGAGAGAGGCCTCATGCTAGTTCTTCGAAAGCGAGTCCACGAATGACGAATAGACTGTCACATACAGGAACCTGTTGCCTTTCTGGGTGGAGTGTTCGCGGGAATTTTGAGGTTGGACCTGAATGAGGAACCGTTAAGAGAATGGGTTGCCAAGACCGCTGAGGCAGCAGGTGTTCAACCTGAGGATCCTGAGGTAGACTCAACAGATGAATCGCCGAACGAAATCGCTATTGAGTAGAACCGACCCTTCGTAGAAGATTGTTCGCCTCGAAAAGCCATAGAATCGAGTAAATATCTGGGTTGCCACTTTACTTCCACTTGAGTACACAATTCCGGTCGTGTGTATATGGACTTGCCGGTAGAATAAATGGAAACAATCAAATGACACAATAGGACGGGTTACCATGTTGTACATATCAATCCGAGTTGATGAAATTGATGGTAATTTTTATCTGCGGAATTGCTCTTTGTTCTCAACGGTGACCGTGTCGCTCGTTGAATCACGACATTATGGTTTCTGCAGTCAAGGATGAAACCGAAATGATTGACTATTGTACTTCAGTCAGTCATGTACCTCGTCGCCGTCGCCAACTATCAGTCTATTTTGTGTGCAAGCCTTCTGCAGGCAACTCAGTGGGAATTCTGCTGAATTAGATGACGTGACACTACAATTTTCTACTTACATTAGGTATGACATGTATGTAATCGGCGGGAGTATGTCATTTATATATATAATTTTGTTTTCTGTATCTCATCGATGAGAAGATTCCAAGGTTAGACCGTCGTTCGGAGGAACCTCACGAAGAGCTCTAGTGCCCGTCCTGGTCTCAGTAATCACTCCTCTCTTTATGCTCATGAAACTCAGGATCGCTCATAAGTACAGAAGATGTCCTGATGAATATTTAGTCCCAAGGAACTGGTCTGCATGAGCTTCATTTCGTGTGGCCTTTGAGAGCCCTTCGTGGGTCATCGCTCTGAGCTGATCGAGAAGTTTTCATGAATGGAAAAAGTTACTGTTAAGTCCGAGACAAACGGCCAACTTATTTCTTCTGCAACAAGCCTGTTGGCTCATGGTTGTTCGAAGCAGTTTTGGGACGTTCTCGATAAATGACCACACCCAAGTCAGTGTGCTTAGCGTGGATATAGTCGCTCTCAGCCAATCGAAGGCCTCGAGGAACTTGCACTACGCTGCCCAGAATACGTTTACATGACTGGGATTTACTCCCACCATTCGCTTCCATTACCAGGCTGTTCGTCACGGAATCATTTGGAACCTTCAGGTGGCAGGTAGACGGTGTAGCATTTCTTCACGTGACAGGAACAAATCAAGTTGAGTCGCACAAGATTTACGTGTCCTTTCTTTCAATGCTTGGCAAATTCGAAGAAATTGGTGGCGGTCATTCCTTGGTTGCCACGTGCTACTTTAGCTGATATACCATCCCACAATTGGAAGCCAAAGACCAAAAGGTAAGGTACGACATGTGGCGAGAAATTTAAAGCTTCACATAGACACGGCCGAGAACCAGACACGTCGCGAAATGCTCGTCTGTACGATTTTAACACCTCAGGAGTTGGGCTGCTCATCAGCATCTACTCAACCGCTTGTCACGGTCGGGAGAGAATGTGGTCTCTAGTCTGACATGCTATTACACCTTCATGAGTCGCGAACTTGTTTGCTTGTGCTGAGTTTTAATGGAATGAACACATGTATCTTGAAGGCAGAACTTTCGTGTTAGTGAGTGAAACCACAAACTCCTGTAGTACCGTCAAACGAAGAGACCTTCCGGCTTTCAGCCTAAGGTTGCCGTCGTTCTTCACGTGTATTGGATTACAGTTTATTTACTATGAACCAGTGTATCCATCCTTCCTAAATCCTGCTCTTAGTCGTCATCGCTGTGATTTTCTCCCGTGAAATCAGCTACGTGTGCCCTTTGAGTGTTTGCTCTCTCTCTCAGGCGAAGCTCTTGTATACTCATTTTCAAAGATGCATCACAGACGAAATTTGCTGCTAGCAGTTCCTTGGGGCATCCTGATTCACAAGGTGGATCCATCAACAAATGTTAGAATCCAAACACGGGGAAACAGGACACATGTATGTCCCCTTTACATATGAACTACTAGCTACTCGTAAGAGTGTGCTAAGTGCTGAATACTCAGGATCATGAGGAAAGAGAAGTTCGTGGATGAACTTCATTGGAAGAATGATAACTCACCAGCACAAGCACATTTGCACTTCTTTCGAGGGTGCTCTCTGTTATGCTTTCTGATATACTCCAAAACCGCCGCCTTCTCATATATGTGTTCGCAGTCCTTACTGCGACGTATCACCAGTAAATGTTAGGTGGGTGAAATTCCAGCATCGACGAAACCCTTCATTACAAATTAACCAGTCAAGATCACGATTCCAGCACAACCAATGAGAGATTCATCAGAGGATATATGTCATTTTTCTAGGTACTTGCAAAATCTTAACAAGATGTTTGAGTTGGGAACGATGAAAGAAAAAAATCATTTGGGCCTACTTGCAGCTCCATACCTGCGCACAGGATCATCAAGCTGCGTCACAGGCTTCCCACTTAGAGGGCAATTTGTATTCTTCACCCCATATTGTGAAGTCAGCATGACTATCTCATCTTGCTCTTGTCCAGGAGCTGCCTCACCTGCATGGTGAATATTCTGGAAAAACGCATTCCACGCGGTAAGCAGTTGCAAACAAACAAGCATATTTGACGATTTTGCCGCTACCGGCAAGACCATAAATACTACTGTAGTGCTGATCCGTCTTCATAACGCAACTTCTATCGATGTCCTCAATAGTCTCCCTATGCTTCAATTTCCATGAACCACACTCAGCATAATCACGCAGAGGATGGATTGACACTGAGGGGCGCACATTTGTAGGATCTTATAAGTAGGAAGTTCCACTTTGCCACTACACGATACGAAATGTTAGTAATGAAGTCAGGCCCTACTTCAACATTCTACACCGGCTTTAGACCTGATTTCAAAATCATGATCTGTCAAGGGGCTGCTGCAAGGTGAGAACAGTACCCAGATAGATTGGTTGAATTGTTCATAGCATGTGTGCTGACGGGGGTCAAACGCTTGCACCCGTCGACTCTCCGCAGAAGTTTCATACAGGACTTTCTCAAAGTCTGCCACCTGTAAAACGCATGTTCTAGGTTAAATTGACAGCGAAATCTAAAGACAGAGTAACTTGCTCCGACTGAAAACTTCAGAAATGATAGAGAAGCACATGTAGAAGCCCACCTCGTTCCCGGTTGCAAAATTGGCACTCAAAGACGATAGAGCCAAGCAGTGATGTTCAAGAGAGTGGGTACACTCCACAGTTTCCAGCAATGCACCTCTTATCTTCTCAACCTTTCACAGACAGAAAACATAAAAGAATGCATTGCTCTGAAATTATAATATACACAAGGACCACGCTCTCATTGCAGCGGTAGCCAATAACTAAAAGCTTTTGGTGTATTCTGAACTATGTATTATTAGAAGCTTCGAACAGATTTTTCATATTTTTTCGAGGTCGCAATCGAACTTCTTCATATATCACTGTCGTCAATTCGAGCTGTAAAGGCAGTCTAATCGGCGTTATCAACCCGGAATAGTAGTAAAAGGGAGCAGAATTTTGAATGAGAGAGCAGCATTGCCTTACAGATACAGAGTCGTGCTCTCTCTCTAAATCTTCAGCCACCATCTTGAAGAGTACGCATTGGGCATACATGTCCTGCGATCGCCATGAGCACATCGAGGGCCCTTAGAGAAAAGCCGACAAAGCCGAGCGTAGAACACGTGAACAACGTAATAAAAATGATAACGTTAGTTTTACCGGGCGACACATACAGATTGAAGACTACGGGCTGTCCCTTCCAAATTCCGTGCTGCCGATCGAATTCTCTCCGTCGCTGCCGCCATTTGAATTGTATTTCCCGCAATCGTCAATCGCCCGCATACCTGGCCCTGGCCCTCACGTCTCTTCCACAATCGGCCAGATTGTGAAGCATGACCCAGTGAAATTAACCAGAATCGCACTCCATCCACAAACCGTGAGCCGAGAGGGAGCGAAATGGCCCACACTCGCAAGGGCAGAATTGGGAATTTGCATTCAGAAGCGCAATGCACGAGAGACGGAAGGAATGAAGGAAGGAAGAAGGAAGACGTCGCCCTTGAACTTGTGATGGCGTGAAATTGGCGGGAGGTGGGTCAGCGATGCGGACTGCGTCCCGGCAAGACGGGACACGCGATGCTGGGCCAATAAGAACGCGGCGCAATGCCAGGTCGGATCTGGGGACCGTCTCAAGAAGCCGGGAGCCGTAGGTAGGACAGGAGTTACGGGACCTGATGGAGGTATGACTTGGCATGAGGATGTCGAAGCCAGCTGCGCTACCGGGCCACGTAGGCCGCGTCCAGGGAACCGGAACCAGGAAGGCTGGGCAGGCAAGGCAGCTCGGCTCGGCGTTGCTCGTTCGAATGCTGGGACCTTGCTTGGTACATGAAGCACGAGGCTCGAGGCTCGAGGCGTGAGCGTTGCACTGAGGAGAGATCCGGAAGCGCGGGCCCTTCGTCTGTCACGAGGATCCGAGCAGTCTGAGTCTGATCCGACGCGGTTGTCGCAGGAGGTCGAGCAATTCTTCGGCGGAATTCAGGTCGCGAATTCGAAGGAAGAAAAAGGATTTCCCGGTGTAGATGTTGGTGTACTCGCAGGGTTTAGGTTTTGGGAACCGCATTGGGCTCGAGGATGGCTTCCACCGTGAGTGAACCGTTTGCAAGTTTGGGTGGGTGGAGTGGCTTGAAACGGCCCTTCCATCAACCCGGATTTGCATGTCCTACGTAGCTGAACGCGTGCACAGTGGTCATAATCCAGCTTCATCTTGGTGGGAGAATGTGATGTAGATGGTAAGTGTACTTGTTCAATTGGAAGCTTGGACATTTTGAAGCATTCCAGCGAGCCTTTCTTTAACGAGGGGTCTTCTGATATCCGACTTGTATACGTATGTGTTTCCAATTTGTCATCGCATGCGTCATTGGTGCATTTTCCGATCAGTTTTTAACTGGGAGGCTTGTCAGTTGGTGATGATAGCTTCCAATTAATAGTGACGCAGGAGGATTATCAAATTCAGTTCATTCGCTCGCTGGTTGCAAACGATTTGTCCATAGATGACGAACTGTGACAATAATTGTAAGCAAGATGTAGTCCAGTCAACCAGTGTAGGACTACGAGTGTAACCAACTTCACCTCTCGTATATCAAGCTTTTCTATATACGCTAGATCTACCCTCAAGTAGATTGACGTTTCAGTTCAGCACTTTTGGAGGAAGGAGCTGCCAGTGAGAACGATGAAAATTGATTAGTACACTGAAGACTCGCATCTACTACATGTTCAGGATTTCTGTCTAATAACATCCCTCAGTCCTCAACTACGTTCCAACGAGCGTTTCGAGTACCATAAGATATAATGTCAGTGAACCTAGACTGCAGTATATGTTGCGTTGAAAAAAGCATAATTTTGAATTGAATAAGGAAATGTGCGTCGAACTGTGTAGCTGTGGTAAGATCGTTTTCCCCTTCCGTGAGTTTGGCGGCAATCGTTTGTCCTCGCACGTTTGTGTGATAACTGATCATCAATGTCACCATGTAAATTGTGAAAATTATTAATTTGTCATTGAAATACGTCCTTCAGATTTCCAATATAGTCCAGTTTGACTTACTTTTTAGTACAATCCCTATTAATTGGGGGATTTATGATCTAAGATGACCTCGCGTGGCGTGTCTTCGGCCCAACAGCAGGTGCATTGTCACCTTTGAACGGTGGACGATGTTTTTTGTAATTCACAGAGTGTTAGTTCTATTTGTCTACGATATCCTCTTCCTACTTTTCCTCCCTGTTCGGGTTGTAATTTTGCACCAGTATGCATGTTGTCTTCATGCTTAGATTGACCATGCTATCTCAGAAGATTTTCACCGCGCCGTCTATAGTCGCATCTTTACTCCGCACATCTATTCTAGGCCCATTTACTGTCTCAAAATTGAAGTTTTTTCAATTTACTTGGAGTGCTCCACATTTTTGTTTCTGTTTCTTACCCAGTTTCTGTCCCTGCAAATGTTCCGGAGGTTCTGATGTTCCTGTTACTTAGATGAAAGCATTTACTCGTTCCTCGTTGAGTGGTTGTTCATTTGATTGAAGTTTAGCCCATAAAGTCAGCATTGTGTCTATATTAAAACCTGCTTAAATCATGTAGACTCCGTTCTTATGAATATCTTTCAGCTGAAGCATGGGTTGGGTTTGTATCCAAAGTTGTTGCCCATCTTCATGTGGAGTGGACGTTCAGTTCTCAGTTCAAGGACTATTCTTGGGCTACTTCAGCGTTCATGGTCAGCATCGCGAATTTAGGCTTAATCTGCCGTCAGTTTATTCGAATGTGGTATACATCATGATTCATGACCTTCACTGTGATCCTGCCACTGTATTTGTGAAAACGAGGAATGTACTCATGCGATCGTCGTCTGCAGTTGTTAAGCTATAATATCAGAATATAAGTAGATCCTACTTTATTGTTCTTTGAGAGGTCTTAACAGATATGATTCATGCTGTTAACACTCCTCTTGATCACTAATCCTAAATGCACTTCAACTTCCCTTTCGTGATTATGAACATGGATAACTTTTCTTATACCTTTGTCTGTGTTTGTGATGATCTTCCTTTACAGGTATTCTTTCTGGAACTAGAGTTTAAAATACCTTAGTAAAGAATACTGTGCAGCGTATCCGCTGCACAGTGTTGCAACATTGCACCTTCCGAAAGACCCACGACTCTCAAGGTAGTACATTAATCGGTTGAATCCCTGTCATACTTCTTGCCTGCAGTTTTCTCATAATAACCTGTAAAAGTTTGCCTTGTAGTGTCCGCCAGTCACTTAAAAATAACTGTCCTTTGTTATATGGTCTAGCATATAACGCTATAGCTCTTATCTCAGACTGTTTCTGCTTTCTGATATATGAAGACGGACAATTTATGACTCCTATTCCACTTTCGTCGATGCCAACACGACTGCAAATCTCAGACAGGCTCAAAAGTCAATTTTATCAACCATCTGCGATGGTTGACGACAGAGAATAAATAACTTTTAAATGTCGTGTGCTTAAGTTGCGACTATCCTAAACTGCACAAAAAGACTCAGATGCCTGTGACCTGCCGAAAAACCTTATCCGGAAAGTAAGGGTGTAAGTTGTCCTGTATATAGTCTGGCGAGTGGTGTTCAGCTTAATCGGGACGATAGAGCCGGTCCTGATTCCGCTCTGAGGCATCTAAAGGAGAACTGTTCCATTTCATTCTGGAAATAAACTTAGAGATTACAACAGAGAGCATTGACATAGTGTTCTGTATTCCCTGAAAAAGATTGAATCTGATGTTTAAGGTCAGAAAGCAAGATGTTGCTTCAATGGTTTTCTACATATATCCGAAGCAAATAGAATTCGCTTATAAAATTGATCTAGTCTTTTTGTGCAGTTTCGCATCTTCGCAACTTAAGCTCTCGTATTTCAGGCTCTTTGTGGGGGATTTATTCTGTTAGCTAAACTGCACGTACTGAGGTGAGCTTTTTCTGGTCAAAACGCCTCGCCGGAGTTCTGTGTACGATAATGCGAAGACCTTCCTCTCATATCATTTTCGCGTAGATCACATTTGCCCGTCCACCCCCATCTCTGTGATACGGCTACGTAGTAATTATCAATCACAGTTCGCACGATACACTAGATTTGCACGTCGCATACAGCATTGTTTCATGCAATTGATTTGCATGATTGAGTTGAAGATCTGAATGTTTTAGATTGTTGTAACTTTGATTCGTCTTTTTGAGAAGAAAATTGCAGATAAGAATGAAATACGCGGACGGTTTATCGTACTCTATTTTGATTGTTACCTAAAAGGATGTCCCTTCGAGGATATATTCGCTCAGTACGCCAGCGCATTTAATTTGTTTGAATTGTTTGAATTTATGTAGGCTAGGCTGCGTGATATTAGAGCGATGCTACTCAGACGTTGGAGAAGGTTATCGGCTTTGGGTCATTTAATCTGCTTGCTTACACCGCACTCAATGTTTTTCCTTTAATTCATTGTCATCTACTTTGTATGCCTTGGCTGTTCACGAGTTCAATAAATATCAGGCAGGTCTTCGATCTCTGCAACACTCAGGTGCTAAGCCTACACGGCTGATCTTGTTCTATTAGAACTAGGTATACAGTACTGTAATGAATAACGTTATAAAGAATCGCGGGACATCTATACGTAAAGACGTAATTACTCTACATCGCAATTATAAATAAAGAGAAGAGAGGAGAGAGGAGAAGAAGAGTCCTTCAAACCGTATTGACATTTTTCCCTCATCATCATACACTAATGGGATGAAGCTTGAACTGGGTTTGTTTCTATCTTGTTTCTGTTTATCGATATACTAATAATGTATCTGTTGTCAAGTTGCACACTCTTCGATTCTGTTATGGATCACATGTACTCTATGTTCCCACTGTTCTGAATAACTGAGTTGGACTTCTCGAGAATTGTGTTCGACAAGTATACAGAGCAATAGGTGGCAGTCGTTTTTCCTCTAGTGTTCTACACTTAAGTCGTAAATAGTCCATTTTGCCCACGAAGAAGACCCATATTCATTCTTAACTGTCACTAGAGTTCTGCAAAATGAGAATCGAAAGGTAGAGTACATAAGAGTACATGAATGTGGAGCTAATCTGTACTTTTTGGCAATTTACTCTACTTCAATGAACCCTAAACTAAGCGTGTTTTCCAATCCTGACGACATGATGCTTATGTTTTTTCATGAAGTTTAAATTCTCTATTGTGTCTCTTTGTATTAGCAACTCATGTGACGGCTTTTGTGACTGTGCAGGATCAGTTTGATAGAAAGCTTGGTGAGAGCCGAATCCGCTCTGGAAGAAACTTATAGGTGAATTTTCGGGAAGGCCGAAATGACTAGTGTTGTGAGGTCGGAGGATGTTGTTGGAGTTGGGCCCAGTAGTGTTGAGCTGCAAGGAAGGAATCAAGACGCCGATTATGTACGGCTGGGTCATGAGGATGATGATTTGGAAATGGAGGAATTTGACTTGTTGGTGCCAGAGGACAATAGGTTTTGGAGCAGAAGATGGTGGTGGTGGTTTAAAGTCGTGAGCATCGGACTTATTATCGTTGGAGGTGGTGCTGCTTTTGCTTTTTGGGGTATCCCGTTTCTTCTTGACAAGGTTCTTACACTATCTTATGCTGTTTGCCTTTGATATGGTCTTGTATGATGAAGCTGAACACGCAGAATCATGATCATATTATGTTTCAGGAATTCTGCTCAAATCTTGTCTGCCTAAAAATATTCCAAACCGAAAGTGGGAAGTGATTTACGCTGGAAACGTGACTATCTGAATAGTAGTCTATCGTGTTTTCAATCCGGTATTTGGTATGATACTCTTTCTTTCTAAAGTTGGTCCCGATGTGTTGGTTGGAGCATTGTCCGTACTCTATCATTTGAATGGAATCTACTCGAAGTCCTTAAATGTCTATGTATCGCCATCTGTGTCGATGAAGGAACTCATTAATCAATTTTAAAAAATTCAGGTTTTTGGGTGCTTTTGCATCGTTGCATGAAAGCTTCAAACGATGTTAGTCCTCGTCATCCTATAAAACTTCAAGTATTTAGGCTTTCTATCCATATTGCTTTTGTGGTCCAAATTTATGTGTTTACGTCGATGTTTTAGTGTTCGTGACAATTGTTTTGGTAGTCCTTAATCTCCTCTTTGACTATTGATGTCAAGCTTGGTTTTAATCTGCAGGTCATCATTCCGATGATGGTGTGGGAAGCCACAAAGTTCAGCAAACCAGTGTTGGCGATTGTTCTCGTTCTTTCCCTCGCTTTTTTTCCAATTTTCATTCTTCCATCTGGGCCATCTATGTGGTTGACAGGGATGATCTTTGGGTATGGGTATGGATTTTTGATCATCATGGCTGGGACTTTTTTTGGCCAAACGCTGCCTTACTTTATCGGGCGATGGCTGTTGCATGACAAAATACAAGTGAGTTCGTATGCTATCTATCTTCTTTACTCTAAGTTTGTAAACTACCGGCCAGTGAACGGACAATTGCTATGCTGTCCTCAGTGATATTGTTCACATTCCCAAGACTTCGTAAATGATGTATAATCTCTATAGAGAGGTGATTGCTTTCTTTTACAGCAGTAGTATATATTTAAATCACATCTGTATCAGTCGAGCAACTCGAACGGATTGCAATAGAGTTTTATTTACTAATTGTTTTCCATTTTATTTCCTCGCAGATGTTTCTAAGTAGATGGCCCAAAAAGGCTGCGGTTTTGCGAGTAGCAGAGCAAGGTAGTTGGTTCTCACAATTCCGCGTGATCGCCATACTCCGAGTCTCGCCGTTCCCTTATCCATGGTTCAACTATGCCATCACTGGAACAAACATTACATATGCCCCTTACATTTCAGGCTCCATGGCAGGAATGGTCCCAGAGGCGTTCATTACAATCTACAGGTAGGTGTGACAAATTCTCTGTGACGTATATGTGATTGCCGACTCAATATCGTGTATAATTTCTCAACTACGGCCATAATGCACCGTTCCTGTAGGCCATTTATGAGGTCTTTTGTGAAGTGAAACGATTCTAGTCTGTTGGATATGCAGTGGAAGGTTGCTGAAGACACTGGCTGATCTCAAACATAGAGATCGGCCTCTAACTTGGCCTGAAGTTATATACTACATGGTGGGTTTTATCATAGCCACCACGACTGCGGTGACAATCACGATTTACGGCCGAAGAGCTTTACAAGATTTGGAAATACAAGAAGCTGCCGAAAGGGAAGCGGCAGAACGACAAATGCCTTTGGAGGATGTTGTGGCTGATCGAGAAGAAAGTGGACTAAGGACAACAAAGAGGTCATGGAGCGGTGAACTGGTTTCTGAGTCTTCAGTTCGACAAAAGATAGAAAGGTCATTGTCTTTCGACGATAGACGATAGACGTTTTTAGGGATGTCTTTCCATTTATTGCGAGTACCACATTGAGAGAAAATTGCTTCTCTGAGCAGATTTGCATATGCGACTAATTCCAGCACACGGGGCAATTTACATTTAGGCACTACCCTTAATACATGAGATTATTATCAATTAGAATTGGGTAGTCAAGAACTTACACTTATTATAGCTTCTGGGTGGTTCAGCTAGAAAGAGGGCCAGGGTTAGGCCCGTAATAAAAAGTAAATTTTTTTCATGAACGTTATGGTTTTCAAAATTTGGTAGAGAAGTCTGCTTTTAACTTCATTTGTGGTGAACTATCTGAGAAGTACCACATTCAGTGTATCTGGACCTTCTGAGGTTCATGTCGATGCTTGTAAGGTTCAACTTGTCAATCCAAGTAATGGATAACTGAAAGTTTTTAATGAACTAATAAAGCGTAGGAAGTTGCACTTTGTGTTCCATGAATAAATCAGATACACCATCTCTTGTTTTTGGTTTACTCATTTCAAATTACACTCAGATTTCAGACAAGTAAGCTTAACCAGCTGAACATTGTACAAATAAGGAACTCTCTCAACATTCATACGGAACCTACTTGCAGCGTTCCTAAAACTGGAAATCTCAACTGTTCAAATTTAGACATTGTGGTCTTTACAAGGACAGTGTTTCCAGAACGGTTGCTTCAGGTGTGTGGAATGATTAGAAGAGCTCATGTTTTCTGGTTTCGAAGATGCTCTAAGACTCCGATATAGAGGTTGAACCTTTCTAACTTCTTGCTCCCAGAATGAAAGCGTAAGGAATAGTCATGAATAAAAATCACGTCAAAATAGATCAAAATCAGGCTACAAAGTTCATCATTACACAAGTTCTAGTCTGTGTCACCACAGACATACATTCTGTGGTGAAGTAATCTTTCGGATAAACTTAGTATTTCCTATGCACTTTCTAACTGTTAATTATCACAATCCTGAACACAAACTGAGAAATAACTAGCCCCTCCCTCTTTTTATTGTGATCATAAACTAAACTGATGAATAGTTTCTTTTCTTCAATCAAAGTTGTATTTTTTTAACCAATAATATTCATGTGTCTCTTGTAAAGTGATAGTAGATTGATATAAAGAAAGATATATATATATATATATATATATATAGAAGGTATATATTAGAGAAATTTTGTTCAGTACAAATTTTTTCCCATATCCTATCTAATATTTAATAACAAATTTCGTAAAAAATACAATAATCAATAAACTCTTTATGGTTGAAACAAGTCAGAACATGCACAATGTTTTAATATAGAATTTGATATAAAAATTCAAACAAACATAATTTTCATACGTAACATGTGAACATTAATTTTTTACTTTTATTTTTATGACATAAAGAAAAATTAAAATAATCTATATATCTATTTATATTAAATCATGAAAATAAAAAATAGAGAATAAAATTACATTCACAATAATTACAAATAATTGATAAAAAAATTCTGATTTTAAATTTTATAACATTAAAAATAAGTTATTCATTAATTTATGAACATGCATAGCACTGCACATGGACAATTTTTCACACACATATTTTTAATTTTTTATTTATAAAATTGAGTCTATTGCATTTTTACATCATGTAACACACTTTGCACATAATTCATAACAATCAATCATTACAAATCATTTCAAGATATATATTTATTTGACACAAATAACTTTATATCAAATCATATGAAATTTTGCAAATTTGATCTATTCTTATAGAAACTATCAATAATTTTATCATACATTAGAAAATAAAGCATATTTTGCATTAAAAACTAGTTTTTATTTTAACCATTACACATTTAAGGTTTTTCTAATGTATTTTTAAAATAAATTATTTATCCATAATAGAATTGATTTAAAAATTAGAATTAGAAACGAAACATATGACTTAAAAATTTATCAACTATTTATTTATATTCAAAAAATGAAATTTTTTATTTATTTGTGAATGAAAAAGAAAATATAACTTGTTTGTCAATATTGTCGCTGGATTCAAAGTTGTCAAAATCTTTGCCAAAATTGTTGCAGTATTTTTAAAGACACTGTGTCCCATGACAAGATTTGCATACTCTTTTGGGTAGAACGTGCAAGCAATTACATAAACGCAGTATATGACTTTACTCTATCTCATTCTAGTAAAACTTAGTCTATAAAAAGTTCTCTTTTCTGCTAAGATTTATTTTTTTGTCATATATAAATATAAATACATATGATAATAACTTGGTAAAACCCAAGAACTGAATTAGTCAATATTGTTGAAATTATTTCAGATTTTGGTTATTTTAGTTGCTTATGATTAGAATTAGTTATAATAGTTAGCTAGCGCTATATAAGAGAGCTGAAAGAGGTTCTTTGTAACATAAATCACAATTTATAGTGCGGAATTCTTTGTCTTCTATGAATTTAGATATTTTGAGTTGAATCATTGATTGAATACTAAATTATTTATTATTATATTCATTGAAGTTTTAAAAATAGATTTTTATGTTCATGTTTTTTGATATCAGTATGGAATCTTAAAACATTCTAATAAATTTTAAATGAAATTCAGCAATCTATGAAAAATCATAACAAAATATCACAATTGTAATCATAGATAACTAATTGAAAGCTAGTAGACTTCATTATAAAATACAATGACATGAACATATTTACATTTTCATGCAAATCTTGATTTGATAATGGATTTGAATATTTTATTAATTTTGAAACATTTTTACACTTTAAAAAGATTCTAATTTCTGATTTTTAGTTCTATAGTATATTTAAATTTATAGTACTCAATTCAACATGGAATAATTTTTGTTTCATACTTTTGACTCATATTATTTGTAGATTTTATTTTTTTATCAAATAAATTTTACATCAAGTGATATGTAAAGATAAAAATAAAATTCAATTTTCTGTCTAATTCTAAATTCAAAAATAATTGTAGAAAATTTGAAATTTGGATTTATCAAAGTTAAAATCAATTAATAAATGTAAATTACGAAAAAATTCGGCAATGATAATTAAATGAAAATGATTATTATCTGCTAATAATGCAATTAAAAACAAGTCACGATTTTATGAATTTAGGTTTGTATTTGAAAAATATTTCCATGCAAAAGAAAATATTAGAATCAAAGTCAATCATATGTAGATCCTATGTAATTTGCTTCAAAGAATCATCAATAATGTTAGTATGTTTTGAAAAAAATGACTAAATATAATATGTATTAGAAAAAATAATAATTAAACGTTGAAAATAAAACTTAATTTTTTTATGAAAAAAATTAAGTGATAATGATCATTTAAAGCAAAATGCAATATTTTCAATTGGTGAATATTTTACAACATCCATCATTATTTTCATACGATCAGAAAATGAATTATCGTTAAAAGTTTCTTGAGAATCTAGAGTATCAAACTGTTATTTTCAATAAAACTGGAAAAGCTGTTGTAATGATTTGGTTATAGCATTGATATAATTTAAGTTTTTGAATTGAAATGAAGATGAATTAGCTAAGAAAGTTCATGGTGATAAATAAATAGAATATATGTTTATTAGAATATGAAACATGTTTTTAAATAGTTTTTAATTCATTCCTAAACGTTGAAAATAAAACTTTTAGACATAAAGCGCTGTCAAATCTTGATAAATCCTGCTAAGGGTAACAGGCTTTCAATATGATTTAAACATTCTTGCTTGCAGATTCTATTTCTTGTGTTAACATTTTTTGGAATAAAAAAAAAATCTCACTGGAATAATATATAAGTTTTGTATGATTCAGCATCTGACATATCTTCTCAAAGTTTACCCTGTATATATTTTGTGAAGTTTTAATGTTTGAAAATGGGTTTGTAGTTGATTATTTTCTCATTACATCTGGCCATCGAAACATTAGAATCAACAAAAAATATCGTCCTCAGATATCATAAATACAAACTTTATCTTTATTTTTTTATATGAATTTTTTTAGTCCATATTGTGTAATATAAACTTTTTCCATGCTATGCATAAACATCAAATTTTTAACTAAACAAGAATTCCTTGCTTCAACAAAATGCGTAGAATGTGCAACCTCTAACTACTCAAGGTGTTTATTGTTCAAATACTTTGATATCATACACGTGTTACAATCACAATTCTAATTGTTCTTCTTTTGTACCTAGAGATCATAGCGAATAAAAAAATATTAACTCCAACATATGTAATCAATCCAAATCAACCTATAACAGTTTATATTTAAGAGTTCATGAAATTTTGATATATGGATCAAAATATTGATATATTTCATACCTAATGTATATCAACAACAAGCAATAACCGGCATTTCATTACAACTGAAAGTTAGACTTTGAATAATGATCATTGAGAGCTGGCAATTTACTGTTTATATAGCCATGAGCCTAGCATTAAGTTAGCCTAATTTAACTTTGTTGAACCACACAAGATTCAATATTAGAATTTTTATATAAATAGATACGTTTATATTCATATCAATTTAGAACACTCAATTGGCAACTAAGATTAGTTTTACTAACTCAATCATGAATGCTGAATTTCCTGTTCAATTTATGCTTGAAAATATGAATATATCATTGTCATGTTTTGATCTAAAGTAACCTTATTTACAATTCATTTGTTAATATGTAAATTTTCCAGTCAATATGAATGAAATTTTCTATTGTTTTTACAAGCAAGACGTTGAAGGTATCCATGTTCATATGCTACATTCAAAACCTTCTCTTAATCCTCCTCCTCCTCCTCATCACTCACGTAAACACCAGGAAGACTTTCTTTGGAGGAGTGTTTTGTAAGAAAAGTATGGAAGCGAGTTCACTTCTAAAAATCAAAGGACTCGATCCAGAAAAGAGGAAGAATAAAACCTGTGGGGGGCTTGAGAAGTCATTCTCAGAAAGGTCGGAGGGGCAAAGGATTTCGAGTCAACCAGAGGAAACAGAGGGAAAAGGGAGGACATAGATTTGGACAAGAGGTTCGACCAAACGACAAGACGGGTGTCGGCGATGCAATTCTGTGGGCAGGGAGGGAGGGAGGGAGGGAGGGAGGGAAAATACCAAAAAGAAGACCAGGCACGGGCGAGAAAAATGACAATGCACAAAGTGGGCTCGAAGTCAATCGTTTGTTTGGGCTTGGGTGCAACGCTGCTGCTGCTGCTGCTGCAAGTCGGAAACTGGGCGATGGAAAGTTCGAAGAAGGATTTGTTGGGCAGCAGATTGTGTTCCAACTGTCAGTCAGTCAGCTGGGGCGAATCAATCGTGATGGCTACATGGAA